TGTGAGAACGGGATGTGAGGCAGGCAGCCGGGGGCTGGGAGAGTACGGTTCTGGGAGTAGGGTATAGTGGGACAGGAGTGGGTGGGCGGGGAGAGGGAGTGGGGTGGAGAGGGAGTGGAAGTGGAGTGGGAGTGGAGGGGAGTGGGTGGGAGGGGAGTGGGAGTGGAGTGGAGCGGGTGGGAGGGTAGTAGAGTGGGAGTGGAGTGGAGGGGAGTGGGTGGGAGGGGAGGGGAGTGGAGTGGGAGGGGAGTGGGAGGGAGGGGAGTGGGAGGGGAGGGAGGGAGTGGAGTGGGTGGGTGGGAGGGGAGGGAGGGAGTGGAGGGGAGGGGGTGGGAGGGGAGTAGAGTGGGAGTAGAGTGGAGGGGAGTGGGTGGGAAGGGAGGGAGTGGGAGGGAGGGGAGTGGGAGGGAGGGGAGTGGGAGGGAGGGGAGTGGGAGGGGAGTCGAGTGTAGTGGGAGGGGAGTCGAGTGGGAGTGGAGTGGGTGGGAGTGGGAGTGGAGTGGGAGTGGAGGGGAGCGGGTGGGAGGGGAGTAGAGTGGGAGTAGAGTGGAGGGGAGTGGGTGGGAAGGGAGGGGAGTGGAGTGGGAGGGGAGTGGGAAGGAGGGGAGGGGGAGGGAGGGGAGTGGGAGGGGAGTAGAGGGTAGTGGGAGGGGAGTGGAGTGGGAGGGAGGGTGGGAGTGGGAGGGAGGGAGGGAGGGGAGGGTGGGAGGGGAGTAGAGTGGGAGTGGAGGGGAGTGGGTGGGAGGGAGGGGAGGGAGGGAGGGGAGTGGGAGGGAGGGGAGGGAGGGAGGGAGGGAGGGGTGGGAGGGGAGGGAGGGGGGAGGGAGTGGTGGGAGTGGGAGGGAGGGAGTGGAGGGGAGGGGTGGGAGGGGGGGAGGGTGGGAGGGAGTGGAGGGGAGGGAGGGAGGGAGGGAGTGGGAGGGAGGGGAGGGAGGGAGGGGAGTGGGAGGGAGGGGAGGGAGGGGAGGAGGGTAGGGAGGGGAGGGAGGGGAGGGGAGTGGGTGGGAGGGAGGGAGGGAGTGGAGGGGAGGGAGGGAGGGGAGGGGTGGGAGGGTAGTAGAGTGGGAGTGGAGGGGTGGGAGTGGAGGGAGGGAGTGGAGGGGAGGGGGTGGGAGGGTAGTAGAGTGGGAGTGGGAGGGAGGGTGGGAGGGAGGGGAGTGGGAGGGAGGGGAGTGGGAGGGGAGTAGAGATGTAGTGGGAGGGGAGTGGAGGGAGGGAGGGTGGGAGTAGAGAGGGAGTGGAAGTGGAGAGGAGTGGAGGGGAGGGGTGGGAGGGTAGTAGAGTGGGAGTGGAGGGTGGGAGTGGGAGGGGAGGGAGTGGAGGGGAGTGGGTGGGAGGGTAGTAGAGTGGGAGTGGGAGTGGAGGGGAGGGTGGGAGGGTAGTAGGAGGGAGTGGTGGGTGGGAGTGGGAGTGGAGTGGGAGTGGAGTGGGAGTGGAGTGGAGCGGGTGGGAGGGTAGTAGAGTGGGAGTGGAGTGGGTGGGAGTAGAGAGGGAGTGGAAGTGGAGAGGGAGTGGAGGGGAGTGGGTGGGAGGGGAGGGGAGTGGGAAGGAGGGGAGTGGGAGGGAGGGGAGTGGGAGGGGAGTAGAGTGTAGTGGGAGGGGAGTCGAGTGGGAGTGGAGTGGGTGGGAGTAGAGAGGGAGTGGAAGTGGAGAGGAAGTGGAGGGGAGTGGGTGGGAGGGTAGTAGAGTGGGAGTGGAGTGGGTGGGAGTGGGAGTGGAGTGGGAGTGGAGGGGAGCGGGTGGGAGGGTAGTAGAGTGGGAGTGGGAGTGGAGGGGAGCGGGTGGGAGGGTAGTAGAGTGGGAGTGGAGTGGGTGGGAGTGGGAGTGGAGTGGGAGTGGAGTGGGAGTGGAGTGGAGCGGGTGGGAGGGTAGTAGAGTGGGAGTGGAGTGGGTGGGAGTAGAGAGGGAGTGGAAGTGGAGAGGGAGTGGAGGGGAGTGGGTGGGAGGGGAGGGGAGTGGGAGGGGAGTGGGTGGGAGTGGAGAGGGAGTGGAAGTGGAGTGGGGGGAGGGAAGGGGAGTGGAGTGGGTGGGAGGGGAGGGGAGTGGGTGTGTGCTGAGCGCAGCAGAGTCGGTGGGGCTGTGGGATGCGAGCGCTGGCCTGTGTGTGCGCTGCTTCTCTCCGTAGGGGCCTGAAAGATTTTTAAGTGGCACTGACGCCTTTTATGCCTGGATTCTAAGTATAGAACATAATCTTTAGGGTGTTTTAAAGAATTCAAAAATAGACAATAATTGACAATTAAAATGTCTATGAATTTTATCAGGTGAATCAAATCAACATTATTAATATTGTTATTGACAAGGAAGCAACTTACCTCTTTGTTTGAAAATCCAGATGTCAGGCAGGTTGTTGGATTTTCAGCTATAGTACATCAAGGTATATTTCCTAGGAGTAACTTTTAAAGTAGATTCTAGGAAGATAAAAATAGTGGCTCTGTTTACCTAAAGTTGTTTCTGGAATGATGAAGTATATTCCTGTCAGTGAAACCAGTAAGATATTTTTTAAAACATATTTTTTCCTCAACATTTTGCCTAAATAAATAGAATAGGATCTTTCTTTTAAACCTCTTAAATCTATTAACTAAGTATACCCATAACAGTATATTTTGAATAGCCATAGTAATATGGCTACATTAGAAACGTGGTATTAATGTGGGCTACTGGCTGCAGCCATAGTCGTCTTTGTTATTGTTATAATAGACTTGGTGTTATAGAGAAATTTTAGATTCACAGCAAAGTTGATCCATTTTTTTATAGTGATCAGGAAGTATTTATTACAATACCATATGGTAGTATTTGTTAAAAGGTGTGTATTTCTACTGTTAATTTCACTATATACAAAATGTATTTTGCAATTATACTTGCTTTTTTATAGTTGTTATTATTTCACAGTATTCCATTGGTACTGAATACATGTGCAGTGTCATTGTGAAAGAACTTAAGTGGATTTTTCTGATAACACTAATTGAGAAGCAGCATTTTTGGACCTTTTTCATGTCCTCTGACTAGGAGAGTGAATGTGTGCCTTGTGATTTATTCTTCTGTTTTGACTACTTTAGGGACTGAGAACTTTAACGTATTTCATGTTTTGGCAGCTTCAAACAGGGTAAGAATTCGTAGGTCTGTTTCAGAAGAGCTGTGACAGGAACGTTACATATGTGGGGGACAAAGATGCATACAGATTGTTGGAGCTTCAAGGAGACATCCGTTTTCTTGGAGAGGATTTATGTCCTCTGTTGCATTTAAAGTGACTTCCTTCCCGATTGATGTATCAATTACTACTGAGCTAGAACCACTCCTAAATTCTGAAGTTTAGTGTGGATAATGTAGTTAGCATGCACATATTGGAGAAAAACATAGAAACCATGCAGTATCAGCTTTCTCCTTTTGAAATAAAAATCTCACCATGCCTCATTTTTCTCCATTGTTAGAACCGGCTAGTCTTTCAACTCTCACCTTTTCCTCTTGGGAAGAAGGGTGGGGATTGTCTGATGTTGGGTTACTATAAAAAGAATCCAAGACCACAATGGTTGCACCTTAAATTTCAATTTCAGTAGATTTATTTGTTTCATATCAATATTATAAAAATTTAAAATTTTGTTATATGTTGCACTTTCAGAAAGTTCTCTTGACAGTTAATATAATCAAATTGCTTATCAATAGCATTTAAGGAAACCTTCTCATAGTCTTCTGATTTTAGCGCACCCTGTCGTCTAGAGCCTGTGTGATCCTAGTTAGTTGCTGGCTTTGGCATGTATTAGTAATACTTTAAGAATATCTTTACTTTAGTATTTGGGGGAGGAAGTGTCTGATATACTTTTTAAACTTTATCATGGACACTTAAACATTCATGCAGAGAGCAGTATAGTGAATTCTCAAATGTTCACTGCCTGTCCTCGCAGGTTTAATATAATGGCCAGTCTTGTTTTGTCTGCACACTCATCCCAGTACTTCCCTCCTGACCCCTCAATGACTTTGAAGGAAATCCCAGACATCATGTAATTTCATTGCGAAATATTTCTGTGTGTGTCTCTAAAAGAAAATAAAATTATTTGTATTCCCTGTGAGTGCTAGCTAGCTTTGTTATGGAAGGGAAGCTCAACAGTGCTTGGAAATAGGCCTGCCTTTGCAGTTTTTGTAGTTAATTTGCATTTAAAAAGATGAAGAGTTTATACTACTTGGGTATTTTATTATTATAGTAAATCTCAAAGGGTTTGAAATGTTGGTTTTGTAAATAACATTTAAGAAAATATTATGAATTACCATCATGAATATGTATGAAGTTCTGTGACAGCCCTTGGTTCAGAGCTAACCTGCAATTTGCTTTGTCGTTTGTTCATGGCTCCCTACCCCCAGAATTTATGTATCTTTATTTAAATGCTGTGGGGCAGCATACTTAGTTTCAGATGAAATTCTGTAAGCGTCTGTGTGTCAAAGAAAGAGAACAGAGAGGGAAGATAGGCATATGGGGCTAAGAAAAATAGAATAGGCTAAATGGGGCAAACATCACCAGGTACTAAACTGTAGAGGAATAACTCCCCTTCCTTCGCTCTGGCTCACCCAGCCTCCTTTTTGTCTGACTTTGTTGCTCTCTTTTCTTGTTCCTCCTCTGATTTTTTTCTTGGCGTGCATTTAACTCGGCCTGCGACAGGTAGGTGGCAGATTTTTCCCTTAGAGAAGGGTGCCCTATTGTACAGGGGCCGTGAGATAAAACTTTAAGAAATGAAATGTTTTAGGACTTATTTGCTGTGTTTTACTTGTTTTTATACATATTTTTAAAAAATTTATTCATTGCAATAGTTAGAATACCCACTGTGGGCTAGATTGAACTATTCTGTGCTTTGGATGGATTATATAGTGTATGAGAGCATTAATTTTACATTGATTTTTAGGTTTACTGTAGATGCTTTTATTAAAAATTATATAATAATTTTTCCTTTTTTGTTCTCTTTTGCTGCCCATTTATTGGATGAAATGGATTCTATTCAAATGTGATTCTGCAGTTCACAAGATTCCTTTGCAGCTCACCTTTGGAGGTAAGAGTTTACTCACCTGAATTCTAAAATCACTAATTGAACATGATTATTGATATCTTTTTTTGGACACTTATTTGATAATAAGGAGTGATCACTGTATTGTGACACATCCATTCTTCAGTAACAGTAATGAGATGAATACAGACTTTCTTTTAGTTAATAATTCCTATAAGTTACAAAGCTATTTACCTTCATAGCAGATCATTTCTTCTTTTTAAGTACATTTTCTTTTTTAATGACTGGACTGAAGTCAGTCCTTTGTATTAAAGAGCAGTATTGCATCTCCTTCTTTCGTAACCGTTTAACATTAGCCTTACTCTCTCCTCACGGCCCTGGTGTTAACACAGAGAGCTGGAGAAGTCAGGGGCAGAGACCGACATCAGGGAAGGTTCACTTGGTTCAAAAGAGCTTTTGAAAATCTGTGAATTGGTTAGGGATGAGAACAGGACTTAACCTTTTGCTGACCTGTTCTTGTAACACAGACACTTCATTCACTTTCTCATTTAATTCTCATAATGGTTCTACAGTTTAGACTTGAGAATCCAGGGAGAGAATTGTGAGGTAAAGAAGAAACTATTAGCTCTTCAGAGAAGCAGGAGTCCTGGTGAGCTCCAGGTGACAGGGAACGGCTGTGGAGGGAGCCCGGACGTGGAGAAAGGTGGAGAAAGGAGCGGGGATGGGAGGCCGCAGGGCGTGTGCCCAGGGGGCTGGGTTTAGAGCCAGCGGGGCTCTGAGGTCGAGCCTCCACTCATTAGCCATGTGGGCGAACGACAGCTTCTCTTGAGCATCAGTTCTCTCGCCTTTAAAGTGGGTGTAATAATTCCTGCCTCCCCGATGAAGCAGCAGTCGTGGGAGCAGGTCCCCAAACACTGTTCATACCTCAGCGATACTGTGTTCTCCTCCGAGGCCGGACTTCAGCCCCGCGCAGTGAGACTCTGTTCCCGGCCTTTCGCCTGTCCTTCGTTTTGCCTGTTGCTCATGGCACTCTCCGTTCCCTTCCCCCGCCCCCAGCTTGCTGAAATCACGGCCCTCTTCAGGGTGAGTCTAGCTCCAGCGCCCTGCCGTCTGTGTAGTGGAAGCGGTCCGGGCTTTGACATGAGAGAACCTTGGGAGGCCATGAACAAGTCATGTCATCTTTTGATAAATTTAAAAATGGAGAAAATACACACTTGCAAGTTACTAAAATAGAATGAGATGATGTGTGGCAAACAGTGAGCACAGGGCCAGTTGCATGCGGTTTTAAATAAAGTTTAGTGTAAAAACAATAAAAACAGAAACCAAACCATAAGAAACTTGGACAATATAAATTATGTATAATCTAATCTTTAGGTGATTAAGCACTTTCTGAGCATAGAAGAAGGGGGAAGTATCAAAGGAAAGAGTGGAAGTGTTAGATTTGATCCTGTAAAAAATTCATAATTTTGTTCATGAAAATGTAGTTAAAAGGCAATTTGGGGAATATGTGATAAAAAGGTTATACTTACTATAATGACTTTTTAGAATTAATTTTAAAATGTCTGATTTGCTTTTGTATAATATTTGGTTGGATTTTATCAGATAGTTGATGAGATGAAATACAAATGGTAATAAGTGTTTTAAAAGTTTAACCTTATAAGTGATCAAAGAAATGCAGGTTAATAAAACCAGTGATATACAGTTTTGTTTTGTTTTTTAACCTATCAGGATAACTTGCATGCTCATGTGCGCGCGCGCGCACGCGCGCGCGTGTGTGTGTATGCTTGGGAAGATGTGATATGTTTTTAAACTTCAGTTTATCAGTTCAGGAATCAGTTTGGTTATGCACATTAAAGACCTTATATAAATTCATACCTTGTAGTCGAGTGATTCTAGTCTTAGAATCACTGCCAGAGAAATGATCAAAGATGGGGACAAAATTTACATAAATATGTTTATTACAACATTATTTATAATGGCAAAAATTTATAAACAACCTAAGTGTCCAGCAGGAGGAAAAGGTAAAATAAACCATGGTACGGCCAGCCATATGCCAGAACACACTATAGCCATTAAAATGAGGATTGTACATAAATGTTCATAAGTACATACTGGTGAGCAGTAACACTGTAAAATACTTGTATATCAAGATAAAAACAGGATGCAAAACTGTACGTGCAGATCTGAATTTAAAAACAATTCAAGTGTACAGAAAATAGGAAGGAGATACACAAAATGTTGACATCAACTACAGAATGTTGTCTTGTTTCATCCTTTGCTCCTCCATAAAGGAGCCACACGGGAAGGAGAGGTACCTTGGCAGGTTTTTGGTGATGGCTCTTGTAGTCCGTGTACGACTGCTGTGTGATCAGGGAAGTCTCTGACTGGAGTGGAAACAACTGATGGAGGTCCCGGTCTTGGAAAAAAAGGCACTGGCAGGAGCTCAGGCTGCAGATGTGGTGTTTGAGGCTGGACTCTCATTTCAGCAAGAGCTTGGAGGAGTGACCGAGAATAGGGCTGTGAGCAGAGGGCAGTTAGGCCGAATCGACCTCGCCCCCCAGGGAGTAAGTAAGGGTGTGGGGCTTGATGTCCACGTCACAGAGGCAGGTAGCAGTTTGAAGATGCTTTTAAGCAGACCTCACTAATAGACTTCTCTCAAATGTAAGGTCAATGAGATGACCTATTTTTCTTGCTTCCTTGTTTTACTCTTATTGTAGTACATAGGAGGCACTGAGGAAATAACTGTGAATGAATGAATGAATGGCTAAGTTAGGTGGGGCTGAGGCTGAGAGTAGCAGGCGTTTACCCATCTTTTGGCAGCTGAAAGCACACAAGGCCTAATATTTGTATTTTAACATAATTAATACTCTGTCTTCCCAGCTAGATTGTAGCTCCGTAACACCTTTGTGTTCTTCGTCGTTGGATTCTCTCAGGTATAGATAAAGCTGAGAGTGTACCAGCCATACTTCTAGAGTTTTATTGTACAAATACATGTTTTTAAATTACATCTTGCTACTCTGGTTAAATATTCGGACTGTATGTGCGGAAGCTTTCATCTTTGGTGAAACTAGAAGGGACAGTATCATGATCGAAGCTTAGTGATGGTTTCTGTCATTTTCTGCCTGATCTGCTTTTTCTACCTAATGATTTGGAATTATATTTACTTTACCTTGGCTAAATTGATTTGCTTGTTATGGGACTTAACAGACATGGGTGGAGGGAAAAAAATAAAAATTAAAGGCGACCAATTTGCTTTGCTTTCCTTGAAGTATTTGGGAAATACTTGAGGGCTTTCTGTTGATGTTTTTCTAGCCTGGAATTTCCCAGGGGCCACCTGATGACATAGTTATTGGCTGCTACCCCCAAGTCTGCAGCAGCACTGACTCGGGACTCTGTTTCTTCGCCCTGCAGAGCCTGGGCGCCAAAGCAAAACTAAGGCAGGAGGACAATGGGAGTCCTGAATGTTTAATTTTTCCACTAAGCTTATGTTTCAGCTGGAGAGGAAAGATTACAAATATGGTAAACGCCCAAACACTTGTGCTAATTTTGAATAAAAGAAAAATAATTCTGGTAGAGACAGTAAAGTATATGGGACTTGCAGTTGAAAATGAAGGAGACTTTAAATTTCACTTTGTCCACACAAGCTACTATGAATGAACCACGTCCCTTTGTTGTAAGTCCTAAACAGTTAACTGCCACATGAATCTAACGAAATTGTCAAGTTATAGTAATTACATCAGTAATGTGATCTGCTGTCATTTGAATGGAGCCATGTGTGGAGAGTCAGTTACTTCCCTCTGTGGGGCTGACCCTTTTACATTCCTGTAAGCTGAAGACTAATAGAGCTCATTAAGCTTTATGGGAAAAGAGCTTTTATCACCTCGTCAAGTCAGGCAACATATTTCCATTCTATTCCTAATTGTGTGCAGCTCTGTGGCTGCTGATGTGCGCTCCCCGCGAGGTCTCCACCGGACCTCTCCCTTACAGACGCTTTTATTGACATTTCTGAGTCTGAATTACATTTTGTGTGGCACCACCTACACATGTCTTCAATTAAATGTAGGTAAATAAAAGGGATTATATATCAGAGGCTAAAAGATTCCTGAAATTCTCTTCTGAGTCAGACTGCCAGCCAATCCAGTAGGGTGCAGCCTCATCGTCATTTCGGAGGTGGACAGCTACAGGAGAGGCGTTTGCGAGAAGAGTTAAACTGTGTGTGAGACTGTAGGGTTACTTAGCTTTCTCTTCAGAAATGTCCTCTCTTCTTCATTTAAGATCAGTTCAAGTCTTCTCAATTCACAGTTGTTAGAACATCAAGAATTTACCAACTGTAGTGTGTTGGTACTGTGCCGAGCTCTTTGCTTACCTTGTTTTAGTTCTCACAAAGTATGTATGAGGTAGATATTACCAATTTTCTTAAGAAGAAAGAGAAGGTAGGTTAGTTAAGCGCAGTGTCACAGCTACTCGTATGAGACAACAGTAACAAGATAGGAAGGAATAAATGGAATGATTCTTATGTTACATGAAGTGATACAGTGTTATCAAAATACACTTGAGATGCATTTCGTAAACACTAGAGCAAGGTTTCTTGGCCTTGGCACTGTGGACACGGGTCTGGTAAATCTACTTTGCGGGTGCTATTCTGTGCGTTGTATGATGCTCAGCGACATTTCTGTCTTCTCAGGAGATGCCAGAGGCATCCTCCCTCTGACCTGAGACAAAATGCCTCCAGACTCTGCCAGATGTCTGCAGGGGGAAATCGCTCCCTGTTAAAAACCACGGCCCTACAGTTCAAAAACACACAAACAAGAGAACAAGCTAAAAATCAAAGAGGCATAGTTAATAAGCCAATAGTGAAGAGAACAGCAACGGTAATACACTTTCAGCCTCATAAAAGGCAGGAAAAGAAGGAAAGGTGAACAGAGAACAAGTGAGACAGATAGAAACCAAATAGCAACATGGTTCACCTAAATCCAACTCTGTGGGTTTATACATTAAGTGGAAATGATCTAAACCAAAACTCTGCTGTGTGGGAGTGTCCTGTG